TTGAAAAGATTTATTGGTTTATAGGAAAGTCCTTGAAAATCGTAATCTTGGGTTTATTTGAAAGCATTAGCAATTTTCGTACTGGGAGGAATTCATACAAAACCTTTAAGTGTTTGTTAGTCATTCCATGAGACGTCTCATGCTTCACAGTTTGAAATTGTTTGGTGGTTGTTTTAGTCAACTCTGTGTCATGCAAAATCTTACTTTGTTATTTGAGATTATTTATTGGCAATTTACTAGTGCAAGAAGACACTGCTGCGGTAAAATTTGTGCTTAGTTCTACAAATTCAATTAGCTTGCACTGAAAAGTGAATGAACTCATGGTCCTAATTTCATTCATACTGTTTTTTTGGCAAATGTTGGAATGTTTCTGGATATTTGAATGATAAGAGGGTTACTAAGCTGGTCACTTCTCTGGGGATATTCGAGTTTGATCCTTTAACCGTAATATTTTCGTCTGTTGAAATTTACTGATAAAGTGACTTTCACTACAGTCATTGCGTATAGATTAGAGATAGTGCTACTTGATTTAGAACAAACCAAATTCACCCCAGACATGTTTGTTCAGATGGCTAGGAAAAGCAAATATAGATCTGGATTAAGCCCTTCCGTTTTTTTTTTTTTTACTTTTATTTAGCTGAAACAGAATAATTTGCTTGGTCAACTTCGTTGATGTAGTATATGGCTCGATTATGGGATTTAGCTTAAATTCCAGTATATTGAGGAGTCGTCCAATTCAATCCTCCAAAATCTTGTAATTTACAGCTGTAAAGGTTACCTAATATATCAACATCTGTGTGACCACTGCTGGATAAGCTGACTCTAATCATCTTCTCCTCTAATCAAGTTGTAGCATTTGTAGTTTGTTGCTTCGTGATGAAGTTATTCCTCTTTATTTTCTATGGTCTGTTTGTGTAGATAATGATGATACACTTAAACTCTACCTCAAGGATATGGACTTAGAATTTTCTTGGCCGGTTGGAAAAATCAAGGAAGCTATCCCAGAGTTGGGCAGTTTTAGTGCCTCTTCACCAATGTCATGCTCACTGGAAACTACAAAAGCAATTGCAGCCTTAGTTGATGAACAGAACATTCCAGAGGCGAAAATAGGGCTCGCTTCTGGTATTTCTGCATTTCTTTGGCTATACATCTCTATCCATGGGTATGTGGCATTTTTTCTGAGATGATAATATTTATGTTTTTTTAATTCTGAATCACCTGCAACATCATGATTCCATTTTCTTTGGCATCAGTTGTAAACCAGCAAAGGCCACTGTCAATTCTGAGCTTCCTCTTGGATCAGGCTTGGGTTCGTCTGCTGCCTTTTGTGTTGCGCTTTCAGCTGCCCTGCTTGCCTTATCAGACTCTGTAAAGCTGGATTTTGGCCACCAAGGTTGGCAGATATTTGGTGATAGTGAGTTGGACTTGGTGAACAAATGGGCGTTTGAGGGTGAAAAAATTATCCATGGGAAGCCATCTGGGATTGATAACACAGTTAGCACATATGGTATGTCAAAATACAAAGTAAAGGCTGAACATTGACTGCTTTTGCTTCTTATTAAAAAAAAAATCTGGAGAGACAGAGAGAGAACTTAATGATCTTTATCTCAATCGTTTTTAGTCTGAAGTAGCGGGTGCCCTTTGCCACACAGAAAACATTACTGCTGGAAGTTTTTTTACAGTTTTAGGAGTAACAGTATTCGGAGGTTGAACTAGTAACTGGGGAATGATATGAATAGAAAGCTAGACAAACAACCTCAACAACACTAAACACAAAAAAAAAAAAAATTTCTTATCCTGGTGATAAATGTTTGGCTGGCAAAATTGACCTTTCCTTTCCTTTCCTTAACTATAAAGAATTAAAAATAATTCCATATCTTCTTTCAATTGGAGTAGTAATGTAAAATGGAATAATCACAATAGGCTAACACATGTTGAGTCTGAACATCTTTCATGCTTTCACAGTTTAGATAACTAAGGTCCTTTAAGAGGGCAGTGGCTGATGTCAAATGAAATATAACATTGAACAATTATTAAATGATGGAAGCATATTCACTCCTTTGACAAATTCAGGAAAGTGAAATTGTTTTTACCATCTAATTTTTCATATCTGTTTTAGATTTTTTACACTTAAAATGTTGTTTTAGTCAACTGTATTCTGGCTTATTTTTGCACAATGTGGGAAGGGTCTCTCAGAATTTAGTTGTCCTTTGAACTGATAAATATTGTCAAACAGGTAACATGATCAAATTTAAGTCTGGCGAGTTGACACGCATCAAAACTAATATGCCACTAAAGATGTTGATAACTAACACAAAAGTAGGGAGAAACACAAAAGCATTGGTGGCAGGTGTTTCAGAACGGACAGCAAGGCATCCAACTGCTATGGCTGCTGTATTTAATGCTGTTGATTCCATCAGCAATGAAATGGCTACCATTATTCAATCTCCTGTTTCTGATGATCTTGCCATAACTGAGAAGGAAGAGAAATTAGAGGAATTAATGGAAATGAATCAGGGATTGCTTCAATGCATGGGTGTCAGTCATGCTTCAATAGAAACTGTGCTCCGAACAACGTTAAAGTTCAAACTGTCATCGAAGTTGACTGGAGCTGGTGGCGGCGGCTGTGTTTTGACACTGCTACCAACTTGTATCCTTTGTATCTTCTATTTATAGTGCTTCCTATAACTCCTTAATTTCTTGCTTTTCGAAATTCTGTTTCCTTCTTGTGCTTGACTTAGCCGCATCTGCTGCATTCATTTATGCCTTTTTACCCTTTTTTTTAAAAAAATAATCCTCTTGTGCTGTCTGTCCAGGAGTTAGGGTCATTTGTTGTCTATCAAAAACCAATTGGTGAATAAGAGTTCGTGTGTGTACAACATTATTATGAATAGTTTCCCAGTAAATTTTGGTTGTAGAATGACAAGAGAGCATACCATAACTGTTGTAGATTGCAGTTACAATACCAAAAGATCGTTTAATGGAGAAGTCTTTTAAGCTGAAACTTCTACATTTGAATCCTTGATAAATGATTTACTATCTTAGTTGGCAGGTGTTCTGATAATTATGGTATCAAAGTGACAAATAATTAAATCCTAGTGCACTCTAAAGGCACAGAGTCCTATTGGCATGGTACTGACTGGAATAAATTGACTTGAATTAGAAGTGGTAATTGTAGAGTTGGGGAGATCATTTGGTGTTAAAGCTCACATAGACTTGCGTATGAATGGAAAAGGACAGAAATTTTAAAAAGATCTAGGAGAGATGCTAAGGCATACATACCTAAGAACAAATGAATTCAAATTCAGGCCCATGAATAGAATCTGGAGTTTGATTCTTGAAGGAATTGGATCACATGAGAAACTTATGTCCCTATGCCTATTTTAGGGGGTGTAAAATTTAAGGCAAGATCACTCTGGAAGCAGAACTACTATAAGGATGTAAAACTGTAAGAGAAAAGGTGAGACTGAGATATTTTAGATGAGATAAAGATGTAGTGTCTTTCAGTTGGATATAGACCTCACCTTAGAATGCAACTTTAAATTTAAAAAATAGGGGTTAGTAGTTTTGGGCTTGGTATGATAGCATGTGGTGTTTATTTTACATGTAGTGCACAGAAGGGACATTCGATAACTGGAAGGTATTCCTTTGATCCTAACAAAATAGCCAATCTCTTAGTATTTTAGTGTTTTCTTGAGCTTGAAAAGTACTTATACTTTAAATGTCTTCCTCAACTTCAATGGTTGCTCTTCTGTGTATGTGTGTTTGCTAACTATGTTCATATGTTGGGTCTCACATATTTTGAGTAACTATATACATGGAAGAAACAGTGTAGGGGAAAGGAGATTGCAGGGGCACCTGCAATTGCTTTGCTGTAGCCTGACGAAAACTGGTGAACATCTTCAGGGTCTCCAGATTTCCGTGACTTTCTGTCATGATTTACAGGAAACCCTTTAACTTCATTTGCTTTTGGGAAGTACTAACATCATTCTATGCGGTCGAGGAATAAATTTTGCATCCAGAAAACCTTCCTGAACTTGAACTTTTATGTCTTATTTATGTTCGAGAACTATATAGGTTGGTCATTGTCTGGGTTAAGATTTTTATCCTTTATGTTCTTTCCTTAACTACATTGTTCAGTATTGTCAGGAACAGTTGTTGACAAGGTAATTGCAGATTTAGAATCATGTGGGTTCCAATGTTTGATTGCTGGAATAGGTGGGAAAGGCATGGAAGTTTCCTTCAGCGGTACATCCTGATATTGTCTGCTGCAGCTGCCAATTGTAAGATCTATCTCTTTAGAATCAAATAAGTTTGTTGAAGACATTTGTTTCTTCAAATTTTCCCATCGATCATTGTTGTATGTTCATTATTCTGTAACGGAAAGCTATTGTATCAAATGACAATCACATTGTTGAGAAAAAGATGTCTTTTCCTGGGTGACGTTGACCTCAATCTTCATTCTCAATCTGTTTTTCTGGTTTAAAAGTTTAGCATGCCTGTTTTACTTCAGGTTTCAGTTCTTGAGTTATCATAACTGTATATAAAAAGTTATTCTATGACTGTCGGTCGCACTTTTGTGATTTCCTCTCCTTCTGTTATACTGACCATACAAAAATCATATATCAAATCTTGAATAAGCTAAATCATATATTCCATCTGAGCAAAATTGCACAAATGGAAGACTTAATCTCCATTCTCCACAGGAATGATTAATGGCACAAATTACTGTAGAGCACAGGCAGGTTGTTGCCTAGGATTCTACATGTCTCAGGAAATTTGTCTTCAATTTCATCTGTCTACCATTTATTCATGTTTCTTCAGACTTAGCTGCATTCAATATTTACCACTGCACGATCAAATCCTCAAATGTGATCAGAAGATAAAAGTTCATTTAAAGCCGTATTTTTGCACAGAGTTTCTCCCAGATGCACACCTACAGAGCACGAACTATATCAATATACAAAGAGTCACTTGACACCATTCTTTTTCACCAAATGAATTCTTGAACACAAGGGTTTTTACATTTACACACATGCATTCACATTTCTTGATGCCAAGTGCAAAAGAAAACATCACGCAACGGAACTTGAAAGAACATAAAAAAGGACAGATGATTCCACTTCCTCTGGCCACACTGCTATAGACACTCAGCATGCCAAGACCACCACAAAAGCACCGATCAAGATCAAGCATTAACAATTGTCCCACCTGTGAAAAACCAATCAATTAAATCGTAGAACTCAATTAGAAAAGACAAAATGACAAAATTCTGATAACACCATCAATAGGTAAAGGAAAGAAGAAACTGCAGCCTGCATGATACGGTGATAAGGAGCATACCATTAGGATGGAGGACCTGGCCAGTGATGTAGGAGGAGCACTCATTACAGGCAAGGAAAACATAAGAGGGTGCAACTTCAATGGGCTGACCTGGCCTTTTCATTGGCACCTCACTCCCAAACTTTTGAACCTCCTCATCGCTGAATGATGCAGGGATCAGCGGTGTCCATATTGGCCCCGGGGCTACACCGTTTACACGGATGCCTCTGCTGATTAACTGCAGCGCAAGTCCTCTCGTGAATGCAACAATTGCTCCTTTGGTGGATGTGTAGTCAAGTAACTTAGCATTTCCCTTGTACGCATTGATTGATGTGCTATTGATAATGGCGCTTCCTTCTTTCATGTGCTTCAAAGCATGCCTGCAATTACATTATCACTAACTAATCAAATAAAAACCAAAACAAAAACTACACATATGATGAAAGATTGATAGTTAAATCATCCCAGCGTGCATACCTGGTCATAAAGAAGTAAGCAAAGATGTTAGTCCTGAACACTCTTTCCAGTCTTTCTTCATCAATTTCCTCAACAGCGGCTGCTTTATACTGCTCTGCTGCATTGTTCACCAAAATATCGATCCTACCGTAATTGTTTACCACTTCATCCACAACCCTTTTGCAATTTTCATCATATCCCAAATCTGCAGGAAGAGCCATTGGGTCTTTTGCATCAGGAGCTTTGGCTTTCATCAACATTCCTAGGGTGTCTGTTGCATCTTTATCCTCACTGCCTTTCACATAGGTGAAAGCCACAGTTGCACCCTCAAGAGCAAAGCAATGGGAGACTGCTCTCCCGATGCCCGAATCACCCCCGGTAACCAGTGCTATCTTGCCCTGGCAATTGAACGTTGGTTAGAGTAATCAATTTCAAGTATACAGTACCTTCTTAGAATAATATGCCATAATATTCATGAACTTCAAAATCAAGAAGCAATCCCATGCAAAATGAAAGTACTAATGCCCCTCAGTTGATGCTTTATTTTTCCGCCCCATAAAATGATCAATCACAGTTTGAAATGAAATATTCACTACAAACTTCCGATCAAGAACTAAAGAAAAAGAAAGATGAGAAAATAGGCCTTCAAACTCTTATTAAATAAGGAGCTATTTGTGACAGTAGAATAGCAAATTGAATAGAGGTAGTGAAATTGTTTATAGTGCGAAAGAAGCAAGTCCTCCAAAAATTTCATTCTCCAGAAATAAAAATTAAAAAACAAAGAAATTTAATACATGCAAAATTGGTGGCACGTACCTGAAGCTTGTTAGAGGGCTTATACTCATGGCAAGTGGCCTTAGGAGTTGGATCCATGACATGTTGTTTCCCAGGTTGTACATCCTGCTTCTGAGGTGGGAATTGCTGACCGCTAGAAGCCATAATTGATCTAACAAAAACGGTGCTTTTTCTGGTAAAACTGTTGTAGTAGGTTGAACTTGAACAAGAAACTAGAGAAAACTGACTTTTCAAAGAACTTTGGTAGCTGATCAATGAGGTGGTTGCTAACACTGTGGAAGAAACAAGAAAACGAAAGAACATGAAATTTACAACTCTCTTTTTTTTGGGATGTATATATGAAAATGTTGATAGATATATATATATATATATATATATATATATATATATATATATATATATATACACATCCGAGGTGGTTTATATGAAGATGGAAGATTGAAGACAAAAAAGGTCAAAGAGGTGGCGAGGCTTTGTAACGTGGCATGAGGCATTAGTCTGCGTGTAATCTTAAGCCCAATGAACCGGACACATGGCGAGGCTTTTGTAGCGTGGCATGAGGCATTAGTCTGCGTGTAATCTTAAGCCGTATGAACCGGCACATCTGTAGAAAAGGGCGTCATGCATGGGGCGTTGAGTTGCGATTTGTGTGGAAAGTTGGAAACAATTTAGTTTGCATTATCAATACATTATTTACATTGATAAATTTAGTTTGTCTGAATTGCACATCATTTACATCTTATTTAACTTATTTTTATTATCAATATTTTTTTAATTATATATATATCATATCAAGAACATGTTACAATATCATTTTAAAAAATTATCTCAAATAATTTCTTATCCAAACACACCCGCAAATCATGCTAGAAACAAAGTGTAGATTCAAGTCAAGAATTTTGAGTAAAATGTTCTAATTTTTTAAAATGACCGGAAATTAATTATAGGGAAGACTAGTATGAGCATGTCATATGAGTGTGAACCGAATGAAAGTTAGAATGTGAAAGTGAAGTGAAGGAAAGTGAGATATAGGAAAATAAAAATCTTTGTTTCATATACATTTAGTTATTAACAAAATATTAATAACAATTAATAATAGCTATTGAAACTTGCGTGAGTAATTAATTTTTTTCTTCAAAACCTTGTAAATTAGAAAATATAGGAAAATGCAGGAAAATTTTCAACATTTTATCAACCAAACATGCATGAAGAGGAAAATAACTAACTTTTCTACACTTTTTCACACTTTTCCCTTGCAAACAAATAACACCATCCTAAACACTATTTTGAATTAGATTTTTGTTTTCTACTCTATATCCTAAAGGTACGAGATAAGTTTAAAATTGCCAAAAATTAGATTCAACTCACTTCTTATTCTTATTTCGTACTTTAGTCCACCTAGTTGAACCCTTTGAATTTTAAAACAAGACACAGCAATCACCTTAGAGCCTTAAACTCGGGGACAATGCTATAGTTATGGTAACGATATTAGGGAAACCTACTATTGTAGGTTTCTATTATCTTTAGTGACAGATCAAGTTTTTTAGCGATTTTTTAAATATTATATTAAACTAATTAATATTAACTTTAGTAAGTTTTCAATAAAAACTAGTAACTATATGCCTGAAAGATAAGTTTTAGTCAGAAATAGAAATTTACACTTTGAGTAATTTAACTTACTTATTATTTGACAAAATTTACCTTTGTTTAAATTAAACTTACTACTACTAAAAGTAAAAAATCACCTTGTCACTTATCTCTGGGATTCTGAACCATTTCAAATTTTAACAAAGAATTCTATCACAACCACAACACTTTTGAATTCAAAACAACAAAAAAGCCTATCTTTTTTTATCATTTTGGGTTAAAATTAGCAAAAGTCCTACCTATTTGCACCTTTATTGTAACATTATTTTTTGCCGCAATTTCCTATTTTAGTTATCCATTTGACACTAGTACGGGCATAGATACAAATTAAGCAACTACTTTGAGGAATAATTTTTTTATTATAAAATTAATTTGAGTTGAATTAACAATTTGATATTTTCACAAAAAAAGTGTATTTTTTGTCATTTTTCAAAAAAAAAATTTTAAAAATATATTCTAGCAATTGTTGTCATTGACACTTAATTGTCTAGACCAACTTTTATCAGCATAAAATTAGTGTCATTGGGAATAATTGAAGCTCTGATATCAATACTCTATTCAAATGTAAATATTCAACCTAAGTAACAAAATAAATGATAACTAAACAAATGAAATATGAGCTCAATTGATCGTGTTCAAACTACATATTCTGTTAATGGTTAGTATATATGAAATTGTATTTTCCATATGCAGAAAAATAATATGCATTTTATATCTACTAACAAATAAATTACCGTTGTTTTGAACAAATCAAACCTAAACTCATGGTGTGATATGCATATAGTTGCTCACATTTATACTTATGTCATCGTCCTTTCTTCCCATTTGCTTTTTAAGAGTGCAAATTTCTTTTGATTATATTGGTAAAAAAATAACATATTTTACAAATTATTCTAATTTATTTAGAAAAGGTTACTAATTTCATTAGAAATTATGAAATGTAATCATGGTTTATTAATTTTTTTCTAAACATAAATACTACATATAAAAAGGAATAGTTATTTGATTTTGTTTTACTTTGATTAGAAAAACTTGTGGTAGTAATAATGAAATAGTGATAGGGGTGCAACTTTCAAATCAACAACCAACGTACATTTAATTAAGGTAATATTTTTTAGTTGATCAGACTAACGTATGCCATAAAGTAGTAAGATTTACTCATTTATAAATTGACAATTTTAGCAGTTTATATACCATTCACCTATAAAAATTATGATTATTATAAAATGACATTTTATAATAATTTACATACTATTTGCCAATTAAAAATAATTTTGATAAAAATGTGCATATAAATCCATATTGTAAATGATACAAAATATATTTGAAACTCACAAAACTTAATATATGGGTAAATTTACTATAATTTTCAAAGATTATGCTACATTAGTACAACTTTAACTTTTATACTTGTGACCTAGAAAATAAATTTATTAAAACACTTAACATTTGTAAATGATAATACATTTATTAAAATTCTTAAAACACAAAACATTTATGAAGGATACATACAATCATGTATTATACATTTACGTTACCAACAATTACTAACTATAATATTAAGTTTAAATCATTAATAAAAAAATCTTAGCATTATTTTAAATAAACTTCCTAATACTTGTTTCATAGAAGTTTCTTTAAGTAAAATAGTAAATTTATGCCACAAACTAGTAAGTTTTGATGATTAACCAAATTTACTATTCTATCAATAAGATTTACTATTAATCTATAAAAATTTACTATTACTTGAACTATACTTATCTCCAAAAAGTAAGTTTCGAATATAAAGTAATAATTTATTTTTTTTTTTAAAAATAACTTTCATTTTTATTTTGATTTACTTTTTGAGACATAAATAGGATAACACTTATAAGACCATTTTTTATTTATTTTTTATTTACTTTTAGCGACCATTGATTATTTGATAGGCCTATCCACCTAAATAGGATAACACTTAAAAATAAGAAAGTAAGTTTCCCATCTAAAATAGTAAGTTAACAGTAATAAATTAGTAACTTTTATACTTCAAAAGGTAAATTGGAATTCTAAAGTTATTTTTTCAATAAATAAATTGCTACTTTATATCCCAAACTTACTTTTAAGAGAGTAAGTTTAATTCAAGTAATAGTGAGTTTTTATACATAAATAGTAATTTTATTGATAACATGGTAAAATTGATTAATAATCAAAACTTCTGATTTATGGGACACATGCACTATTTTACTTTAAAACATATTTCAAACTAGTATTAGGAAATTTATTTGAAATAACGATAAGATGTTTTATTAATGATTAATTCTTAGTACCTTAGTTAGTAAGTACTCATAATATACCTGTATAATGCATGATTATAGGTATAATTAAAAAAATTTATTTATATATTTCAAAATACTATGAAAAATAGTTTGACTAATCTCGTAAAATATGTAATAAAATTTTGTCATATTATAAGTTTTTAATCATTTTCAATTTTTGAAAAGTTTGAAAGTTTGGATAACAATAACAACAAATGTTCCTAGTTATATATAGAATATTACTTGTTTATATATCAAAATTTTTATAATTTAACACCTATGAATATAATAAGATGATAAAGTTTTAATAAATTTACATCTGAGACACAAGAAATAATAAGAGTAAAAGCCTAAACAAATGAGAAATAATATAATAATAAAAATGACAAAATGTATAACAATTAATATAAGAAAATCTGTATGATCTGGATTTTTTTTCTTGGGAGATTGTTCATAAGAATAGGATCCAATAATTATAAATGAAAATCACATGCATATATAATCTATTGTAGAATTTAAATTACATTTAGTTCACGTATAAAATGGTCCTAAAATAATTAGTACACTATGATACAATGTTATTTTAATAACAAAATTTTTTTTTACTAAAAGTCTAAAATATCCATGACATACGTATGAGGGATACTTTACCATATTTGTATCTCACATCTAATCATGAAAGTTAATTTGAGAAAAAATATTTTTGACAATAGAATTATTTTGAATTTAGTCAACAAGTTGAGATTTTTTAAACAATAAAAGTGAAATATTTTGGGAACTTAGTTGTTTATTTTCCCATTATTAAAAATTGCTATATTTTAGCAATTGTTGTCATTGACTTTTGATTCTGTAGACTAATTTTTATCAATGCAAAATTAGTTTTATTAACAATAATTGAAGTTCCATTGATATGAGGATTGGCATTTTATTGCTATTATTTTATATGTAAATAGTTAACATAAGTAATAAAATAAATAATAGCTACTTAAAAAAAAAAGGAAATTGGTGCTCAATTGATTGTGGTGTAAAATATTAGTATACAATTAACTAGAGTTTGAAATGGAATTAAATTTATTTATTACTTTACCGCTAACAACTTTGACCCCATTTAATGGTTAAAGAAAAAATAAAAGAGACGTAGAGACTGGGATTGGTTCCTTAGTGTAAAAAGGGAAAGTTCTTCTAAATTAATGCTGTGTGAAATTCTGGATGCATATGAAATTAGAAATGTGATAACTTTGCAATTCATTCTCATTCATGATGAATTTCTTCGATTCTATATAGAATCGCAATTTTTTTTCGTTCAGCACGACAATATTCTTTTTTTGTCATATTGATGGCTTTTGCTTTTAAGATTATCTACATGTCGGTGGTTATTATTATTGACAAGGTTAGAGGTCATGGAAAGTGTTACTAATTTTAGGAGAAATTATGTATTGTAAAAATAGGTTAATAATTTTCTAGAAAAAAAATACAGTTTTGGTACCTAAACTTTGACACATGAGCGGTTTTAGTCCCTAAATTTTGGACGAAAGCAAATGTGGTACTCGAACTTTCAAATTTTGAGCATATTAAGTACTCTTGACGATTTTGTCCCAAATTACTATCGGAAAAAGTCATGTGACAGTCACGTATCCGGCCACTATTGTATAAAAAAAGGCTAAAAAAATATCAAATGTCATTCTAATATTAAGTATTAAGTTTAAGGACTAATAACGTAATAAAAAAAATTCAAGGACTAAATAAGATCACGAGTCAATTTAAAAATAAAAGAAGAAGAAAGCATCACATGGCATCTGTTTCATCTCTCTTGCTTCGCTCTCCAATAAGAAACCCAGAAATCGAACTTCAACAAAGATCAAGTTGGCTCCAAAAATCAGCCTTGCAGCCGACGATATGCCAACATGCAGCAGAATTCCCAAATCCAGTATCTCTTCATCTTCACCGCACTTAACTTCTCTGGATCATTACAATTCAACTCACTTCAACATTGATAACAATTTCCATGCAGTGGCTGAACAAATCTTTTAGCAAGGCGTGAAACTCCATCACAGCACAAAGGAATTTTAAGCGTACCGTTTTTGTTCTCTATTGCTTGGTTGAGGTGGATGCTAGAAAACAAGAATGGCATTAAAGAAAAAAGAAAACATTGACGCATGTTCAGAATTTCTAATTCAACAATAAGGTAACAACAGAATAGCTAACTGATTGTCTCCAAAACATGAAGTATGACAAAATTGTCTCGCAAAAATTGCCAGTTCGGCTATACATAGCACCACCAAAACAAGGAGACATTCCCCTTCAAACTCTAAAGCCTCTGCTATTTCTTCTTCCCCTAGCTCTCTCAAATTTCCTACCCTTGGACCTAACATATGGTTCCAACAAGCACTGCAATTGTGTCCTCCTTTCCTTCCATGACCTTGACAAGCCTGGAGAGTGACAGAGGAGGCTTATTGATCTTACTCATGAACAACCTCTTCAGCAGCACAGCATTGAACCTGCTGCCTGTCCTCCTCACCAAAAATCGGTACAACTTTACAAGGAGCTTGAGGTAGATGTCATCAGATTTGGGGGCGGTACGCTTAGTCTTCTTAACTTTGCCGCCGACTTTCAAATCAATACCCATTTCTTCTTTTTCGAAGTCTTGGCAAAGATGAGATTTCTGTCGGTTCCTGGGTTTCTTATTGGAGAGCGAAGCAAGAGAGACGAAACAGATCCTATGTGACGCCATGTGATTAGGGGTGGCAATGGGGCGGGGTGGGGCGGGGGATCCTATCCCCGTCCTCCACCCCATCCCCCGCCCCTTGTCCTCCACCCCCCGCCCCGTTTCCCCTGCGGTCCCCCGCGAGGAAAGATTAGAAACTTTCGGCTACTTATTTCAAGTTAAGGTTAGAAACATGAGCTTACAATATCCATGATCATGCCAGTGTAACATGATTTCTTGTTCGGGTGTCACTGAGTATCCAGTAACATAATACACACTAAAGCATGTAACAAGGAAGAAATATTACCTGTAACTCACCCCGTCCAAGTGATGGATTCAATAAATTGGCAATATCAAGACCAGATCCTTTATTGCCTCGTCTTACTATCCCAGAACCAATAAGTGTGTGGATCTCATCAATAAAAACAATGACATTGCTTGCAATACTGTCACAACAAGTTAAGCCACAATAGACGACTTACTTCAAATGCACCAAAAAGAAATGGGCACACCTGACTTTTTTATGTCCTTAAGTAATGTAGTCACGCGTCCTTCTAGTTCACCTCTCTCCTTTGCGCCTGCGATTAATTGAGTAGTGATTAGAACTGAGGGGAATGGGAGGCGATGGCGATAGCTGCGAAAGAGGGAACGAAAGAGGAACTGAGGGGGATAATAAGGGATTTTGTTACTTTTGTATATATATATATATATACACACACACACACACACACACACATATATATATGTGTATATATTTTTTTATGCGGGGGACGGGGCGGGGGATGGGGCGGGTGTATGTTGCCCCATTCCCAACCCCGTTTTAAGGCGGGGGTAAATATTTTGCCTCCGTCCCCGCCCCATCCCCCGCTCCATTTCTACCCTCGCGAGGCGGTTGCCCGCGGGCACCTGCTCCATTGCCATCCCTACATGTGATCCTTAGATTTTTTCTTTATTATGTTATTAGTCCTTAAACTTAATACTTAGTATTAGAATGGCATTTGACCTTTTTTTTGGCCTTTTTTTTATACAATAGTGGCCGGACACGTGACTAATATGCTCAAAAATTGGGAAAAAATTGTCAAGGGTACTTAATATGCTCAAAATTTGAAAGTTCGGGTACCACGTCTATTTTCCTCCAAAATTTGGGGACTAAAACTGCTCATGTGTCAAAGTTTAGGTACCAAAACTGCATTTTTCTCTAATTTTCTATTAAGCATAACTACTGCATACAAAAGGAAAAGATATTTGATTTTATTTTGCTTTGATTAGAAGAACTTGTACTAGTAATAAAAGAAATTTCAATTCAACAATCAACGTGCACATGATTACAGTAATTTTTTAGTTATTTAGACTAATATATGCCATAAAGTAATCAGATTTAGTCGTTTGTGAATTCATAATTTTAACAATTTACATAAGATTCATCTATAAAAAATTATGATGATTATAAAATGACATTTTATAATATTTTACATACCATTTGCCAATAAAAAATAGTTTGATAGAAAACAAATGGATACAAATCCATAATGTAAATGATAAAAAGTATGTTTGAAAGTCACAGAACCTAACATATGGGTAATTTTACTATAATTTTCAAAGATTATGCTATGTTAATACAACTTTAATTTTTATACTTGTGACCCAGAAAATAAATTTATTAAGATTTTCCATTTTATTAAATTCATAGGCATTAATATATGAAAATTGTGTACCATTTTATTATATTCATAGGTGTCAATATATGAAAATTGTGTTGTATAGATAAGTACAATTCTATATATAACTCGAAAGATTTGTTGTTACTGTCATCCAAACTTTCTAACCTTTCACAAATTCAAAAATAATTCAAAATTTATAATATGACAAATTATTCTTACATATTTATAAGGCCATATGAAAAAAAAAAAATGTTTTCATAGTATATTTAAAATGCTTAAAACATATACTCCCTCCGTCCCACTTTGATAGTCCTGTTTTCCTTTTTTGTCTGTCCCAAATTGCAGTCCACTTTCCAATTGAAGAATGTAGTTGTATTTTCATTTTCCTAAAATACCCTTATTCAATATAAGTTGTTGTTGCTATAAACCTACCCCATTTAATGAGAGTTAATTCTTTTTTTACCATCAATTCAAGTTCCCATAAAGTTGTACTCTATTTAATGTGAGGGTATTTTAGAAAAATAGCAATCTAAATTTACTTTTCCAACAAAGTTAACTACTTTTTCTTAAACTGTGTGAAAAAAGAAACAGGACTATCAAAGTGGGACGGAGGGAGTAACATTTATATATGATACGTATAATTGTGTATCATACATTTACATTACGAGTAATTACTAACTATAATACTAAGTTTCAATTATTAATAAAAAAATTTTAGCATTATTTCAAATAAACTTCCTAATACTTGTTTCATATAAGTTTTTTTAAGTAAAACAGTAAATTTATACCACAAACTAGTAAGTTTTGATGATTAATCAAATTTACTATTTAATCAACAATATTTACTATTAATTTATAAAAACTTACTATTACTTGAACTAAACTTACTCTCCAAAAAGTAAGTTTCGGATATAGAATAGTAATTTACTTCAAAAAAAAAGTAAGTTTCATATTTATTCAAATTTACTTTTTGAAACATAAAAGTTACTAATTTATTGAGTTAACTTACTATTTTTTATGTAAAACTTACTAACCAAAATTTTAGATACTATTTTATTTAGATGACCAGTACAACAAATAATCAAATGATCGCTAAAAGTATTTTTACATGTTATATCAGATAAAAACAGTTTCATTACCATAATGATCATTACTTCAGCTTTTCCTAAACTCGGTTGCTGTCCACTTTTTCCACGAAAGTGGGGTTTGTCTATAAGATAGCTATTAGCTACAAATCCTCTCACAGGGACAGGTGCCAATAAAGGCTATGCATGTATGCTACGTGTAAACATCATGCAACTGATATCCATTCTTCAGCAACCTACCGCAGCCCAATTTGATACCCCTGTACATGTACCAAGACAGCAGATTTCAATTTTCAAGTGCCCTTCCCTGCAAGATAAGTGTTGCAGCCAATTTACCGAAAAAGAGATAGAAAAAAAACTTAATATTTTTCTGCTAAATTAACACGGAAAATTTTCTGAAGTTCGATCTAGTTTATTAGTTCAAAGGGCTCTCCTAAACTCAGCAATGGTGTCTGTTAGAGTTGGATACTATTTTCTTGGTGATGCATCTCATTCCCTTACTTTCGGTTTAGGACAAGTAGTTATATATTTTCTAGTACGATCTGATGATATGAATGAAGCTCATGAAGTTTGTGTTGATTTCGGAACATGCATCAATTGTTAATTTTTCTTTCATGAGACAATGAATTAATGTGAATTCCGTTATTTCCTATGTTTGAGAGAAATTTTCAATTTTGTGATGAATTTTAAAAAAATTCTACAAAAGGGGTGATTTTGGTGAGGAAATTCGTCGGGGGGTCTTCGCATTTGCGGAATGCGAGCTCTACTTATTGAGCTCCAATCCATTCTCCTCTTCTATATCATCATCATCTATGCTCCCAAGATCGGAGAAAAATGTCATTCCTCTTGGAACATATGCAGAGCTGCCAACTGTGCTATTACGTCTAATATCTCCGCATTCTGTGTTGGCAACCCGATACCCAACAAAGGGTTGTTGGGTATCGAGGTTTACTCTTAAACTCTCACCTTCATGCTCATCATCCGAGTCACTACCAGACACATCTTGCGACTCCAACTCTTCAACTTCTTCCGCATCAACTTCCGGGTCATCTTCTTCCGGATCATCTTCTTCAGAGGCAAGGAGCCTATCATGCCCACTAGCGTATACATCATCTTCAGCTGAATTGCGACAACCTTAACCAGGGTTAGACTCGATCCCATGTGGAAAAATATGGCATTATGGCCCTGGATCTCCAAAATTTGAAATCGAATCCAGGCCATGAAAATATTCTTGGGCACCTATGGACCCTGATGTGAGTCTTGGTTCTAATGAATCCATAGATCGATCATCATGCATATAGTGAGATGCCAATAAAGTCTCTGGAATGACTGAACTAGAACCGAAGTTAAACTTTGTTGGATCCATGAATGCATGTACAAACGACATCATTGAACCAACATTACCTATTGGTCCAGTGAATACGCTATTAACTATAGGCATTTGGACGATTTCTTCCTTCTCGATATAAATCTCCGCCATGTATGAAATTCTTTCGATCCAAAGATCGTACATTACATCAAGAGTTTCATCATCCACCACTGCGGAAAGAGTATATTTGGAACTCTCCAACGATTGACGAAGAAACAATTTCAACTTGAACATCCCTTTATCGACCCCAATATAGTGATAAATCCTGTCAACCAACTCCCCATATCCAATTCTATGTCTCAAAGTGAATGTCTGGTTTGAAGTACGAGGCAAATAACAAACAAAGTCACCCTCGTAATGTATTTCTCCTCCTCGGTATAGGTTTACCCGCAGAGGTCTTTCTACAGACATGTCTGTGAAATGAATCCCTATTTTGGGGACAATAAATTAGAATTAGTAGTCCAAGAGTCCAAACAAATGAAAGATGGTGGACTCTAGGTCGAAATTGACACTATTAAATAAACTAATTTCGATCCAAATGTTTATGAAAAAATTGAAAACTGGTATGAAATATGCTATAAATGACGATATTAATAGCCTAAAACTCCCAACGAAATTTTTAGAAAATTTGGACAGAGTCTCCCCTAAAAATAGACTAAAATTACCTGTCAACCAATCCACAAAATAGACTAAAACTCCCTGCCAACTAATCCAAACAGGATTTATATGAAGTTGTAACGACATTTGCCATACTACATATTGTCAAGAGACCCTATAATTTTCAAAGTATAAGTATAAGAAAAATACGGAAAATTATATATATTTGGGCTCCACATTCACATCGCATAACAAGATCCACATTCACAATGATGTGATATTCTAGCAATGAACCTTACAAAATTAATGTTTTTC